AGACGATATTGTTTTACTTTCTTTGAGACAAGAATGCGTGACATATTAATGTGCTTCATTTGTTCTAGTTTATGACCGACACATCTTTTATATAAACGAGTAGATCTTTATGATCCAAGCCGGTTTGAGTTTAAAGATATTGTTATTGAAATTTAATGATGACTATATCCGAAAAGCTGTGATTTTTGATTTGTTGTTTTACAGATGATCTTACCCTAGAAAAAACAACAGTAAGATGTAAGGGTGGGCAGGGAAATATTGTTACTCCCTCCGTTTCAATTTATATGACACTTTCCTTATTAGGCGTTCCAAAAAAGAATGGCATATTTCTATATTTGGAAACAATTTAACTTTATACTTTTTATTTTACCCGCTTTTCTCTTAATGAGAAGCTTTTATAGCCACACAAATTGAAAGCTCCGCAAAAGCTTTTACTCTTTAAGCTTTTAAGGCCACAAGTTTCGAAAAGTCTTTTTTTGTTTTCTCTTTAAATTTCATGCCGAGTCAATCTACATCACATATATTGAAACGGATGGAGTACTATATATTTACCTTTTTTTTTTTGTCAATATATGGGTTCTCTGAGCTCGGATGCAGCACTTCCTAACATAACTCAAGAGATAGAGAAATCCTGGCTGTATTATTCTCCAGAATGCAATGGACATTCAGGAGCTATTTGTACAACAAAGCTGGCAGTTCTGATGTCTAGACTCGAGTAATATTCATGGTTGTCTTCGTTGATTAGGTTCCTAGAAGAGCTGTTACTGAAACACCATGGGCATCTTCTTCTTGTTCGTCTTTTCCTATTCCTGCCTCTCCCATTTTTTAGTAATCTATCCTGTACAATCTCAGCTCTGATGCTTAGACTGCTAATTAAAAGTTATCCGAACAGTCTGAATCATGTTAAGACACTAATTGTTATCATATAATTTTATAGTTATGTACCTGTAAGAAAATGGAAAAATGAGAATTTCAAGCTGGGAAAAACTGTTTAAACCAGGCATCAAATTCAATTTGGGGTGGGGGTTGGTTTCCCCGATTGTTGAAGATGATGAGTGGTGCTACAACAACTAAATTTTTGTAAAGTGGGATCGATTTTATCAAGTATAACTGTTTATGACAAAGGATATCTGGTTGCTGTAATTAAGTCATTGATGAAGCACTCTTAACTTTTTTTATTATTTTCGGGTGCTCATCCTCTTCTAATGCTCTTATATGTTTGTTTTTTCAGGCCCTTGATTTGATTAAAGACCGGAATCTTCAGATGTTAACTGATTCTTGCTTGGAAGGCCAATTTTCTTCTGATGATGGAACTGAATTGGTACGGATAGCTTCAAGATGTCTGCAATATGAGCCACGTGAGCGGCCAAATCCAAAGTCACTAGTCGCTGCTTTATTTCCTCTCCAGAAAGAAACCGAGGTCTTGTTCTTTCTTGTCCTGATTATCCAGTAGTATCTTTAAGGCTTATACTGAGTTGGATTATGTGTTTTTCTGCCTGTGTACTTTTCTTTCTTTTGTTTGGGTGTGTGTGTGGGGGGGGGGGGGGAGGTTCTGAATTTGAGACATTCATCCACCTCATAATCACTACCACCTTCACCGCTACTCACCGCCTCCAATTGTCTCTACCATCAGTCTCCACTGCGCAAGTACCACCGCCAATAACCTTTACCTCTAGTCACCAAACACCTGTAACGCCAGCTTTTACTGCACAACCATCACCTCCGCCGTCAGTCACCACCACTGCACAACCACCATCTCGACCTCCGCACAACCACGACCACTGATAGCCCGCTGCAGCTAGCTTTTAGAGTGTGCTTCATCAAAGAAACAATATAATCTCACAAGTGGGGTCTGGATGTTGTAAGCACAAAATCTTAAGTATTCAATGTTGAGATTAAGACGTCTTAATCGAATAAAATCAAATGGAGCCTAAGCAGTTCCATGGCACTAGTAATGTCAAAAGAGTAGTTTCATGACAGTAGTTTCTTAAAATTAGTAAAAACAGTAATTTGGATAAGGTGAGAAGCTTTTTAGATTACATTATTTTCCCTTAATATTGATTTTCTATATTGGCCAACTGTAGAATGCCAAAAATAACATTAATGATAGAACTTAGCTGGAATAAACTTTTTAAACTTGTTCTGCAGGTTCCTTCTCATGTGTTGATGGGTATATCACGTAATAGTGAAACTATGCCTCTGTCTCCACTTGGTGAAGCCTGCTTGAGAATGGATCTAACTGCCATCCATGAGATTTTAGAAAAGCTTGGGTACAAAGATGATGAGGGAGCAGCTACTGAGGTTTGTGTCTATCAATGATTATTTTGAGGCATTGATGTCTTCATCTTTTACGTGCATGTTATCAATCTTTATCTTTTATCAATCTTTTTGGTGTAAGTTTCCAATGCATGTAGAATGATTGTTCTCAGTTCTCCAACACGTGAGACAATTTGAAGTATCACTCAGCTCCTTAGCAGTTTCATTTTGTAACGTATTGCTTGTTCATATGGTTATCAAATCCAACTTACTATACACCTTCGGAAGCCAATGATCAAAGTCTCATGATATCTATACACCTTCGGAAGCCAATTATCAAAGTCTCATGATAGCCACACTTTTCAATGTTGGTTGCAGCTTTCATTCCAAATGTGGACAAATCAGATGCAGGAAACATTGAACTCCAAGAAAAAGGGTGATGCTGCTTTCAGGCACAAAGATGCTAAGGCTGCCGTCGAATGCTATACACAGGTTGGAAATTATATTCTCGGTTGGTTTTAATACTTTTAATCATTTCACTAAAGTTTAAATATGATACCTATATTGCGTTGAGGCTCTGATTCATTCTTTACAACTGTGCTTTCTTAGGGGATATAGCTTGTAGACTAAGGCTTTATACACTCGGGTAACGGGGTAAATAATAGTGCACCAAAATGGTTATGGTAACATATTCTTGAGATTGTTACTGAACTCTTAGGACTGATTATAATGATAACATATTCTTGAGATCGTTACTGAACTCTTAGGACTGATTATTGTAGTGTCAATTAATGTTTATAGGGAAAGTGGTGGTGGATTTAATCTATTTATGAAGTGCATTATTCATTTAGTATGTTGCTTGGTTTTGCAGTTCATCGATGTTGGAACAATGGTCTCCCCAACTGTATATGCTCGACGTAGTCTCTCTTATCTCATGAGTGATATGCCGCAGGAAGCCCTTAATGATGCAGTACAAGCACAAGTAATATCTCCTGTTTGGCATATTGCGTCATATTTACAAGCTGCTTCTCTTTTTGCGATGGGAAGGGAAAATGAGGCACAAATTGCACTTAAAGAGGGTTCTGTTCTTGAAGAAAAGAAGAACACAACCTCCTGACTGTGGCGAGCTGGACCAGTGTGATCTTTACTTTATTGCTCCATTCCAGGGGTTTGGACATAGATCACAAAAGTGTCTTGTTTTTCGAGCAGAGGCTGTTCAATCTGTCGCCTTGTGCATTCGATGATTAAGTAGGTTTGGTTTACTTCAGAGCATTCTTTGGCAACATATAATTGGATGGGGTTGGTTTTGGTCACAGCTTTTGTGGGAATGGATTGGCCTTTTCCAATAACAATATTCTCTGGAAATAATCCAACGCCGTTGGTTCCTAAAGGATCCAAGTTCTGTGGAAAAGGAAAGCTGGAGAAACTTGCTGTGCTGTAATTTATGTACAGTGCTATTTGGCTGCTCAGCTAAGATTGTTTTGATTCTCTCTTAGTATCATGTTATCTTTTTCTTGAAGATCCTTTCTTTTTTTTTCTTCTCTTGGAGTTGGGTGGGGGGGGGGGGGGGTGCAATATCCTTTGTTTGTGGTGGTAATTTATCTTGCGCTACTTATTTTAAGTATTTGTTACTGGTCTAACTTGCAGAATATTGTTTGTAATGTTTGTATCTTATTTCAAGAATCAAGTTTGAAGGCTTGTGGCAAATTATTTATACAGCTAGTAGCTCATTCATATTTTGTTGGAATATAAGTTTTTCTCTTTCTCCACAAGGTAGGGGTAAGGTCTGCGTACACACTACCCTCCCCAGACCCCACTATGTGGGATTATATTGGGTATGTTGTTGTATAAGTTCTCCTCTTTTCAAATTTGTTATGTTGTCTCACATAGATTAAGGGAATCAATTATTGTCTGGGGTTTTCCCACCTCAAGAGTTAACCTTTGTGGTTGAGTTAGGCGTTAAGTCCATTTTCTTAACACGGTATAAGAGTGGCGTTATGCATGGTAAGTGTTGAGTTGATACTTAGTTGGTATCAGCGCCAGATCTATCTGTATTCTTGGTTTATTCAATATTCGGCCTCCATCTTATGTTGTCCACTACTCATAACTTTTGTGGTTGAGTTAGGCGTAAAGTCCATTTTATTTACATGGTATAAGAGTTGAGTTATGCATGGTAGTGTTGAGTTGATACCTAGTTGGTATCAACGCCCGATCTATACGTATTCTTGGTTTATTCAATGTTCGGCCTTCATCTTATGTTGTCCACTACTCAATCTTGTGCATCTGGGGTGTTTGATTATTCCACATTAGTTGAGAAAATGAGCTCGTGTTTTCTTATATGGTCTTAGGCCATTCTCATCTCAGTGTTTTCTTATATGGTCTTAGGCCATTTTCATCTTAGGAGTCTGCTCGTGGAGTTGAGTCGGGTCTAAGGTCCGATTTTTTAACGAGCTTCTTTCCAAACAACCCTAAGCTTTTCTTTTTCCCTCCTAGGGTTGGGAGTTTGTTGATGATGGTGTGCAGTTCTAGCTATAGCCATTTTCTTTCGTTTGTTTTGCATGGAAGTGTAAGTCTTTTTTTTTTTTTTGGTAATTATATTTTTCATTAATCACCAAAGAGTCATTACAAAACAGTAGAGTCATCCTCGACTCACTTACTCTTTACATATAGTCTAAGTCTAACCTATACTATGAGCAGTACATAAGAATATTATACAAAAGGCTGATTAGTTGCTACATTGTTTTTCAGAACATAAGCTGCTGCAATTTTGCCCTCATTCCTCCTTGAGCTCTAACATTACATACACATGGCACTTCTCTTGCTACTTGTTCTGTAGTCCTGCTTATCTCTTCAAATATTCTACTATTTCTCTCCCTCCATATTCCATAGATATGTTCTGCATATACCATTTTCATTACTCTAGCTGCACATGACTTCCCCTTAGCTTGTGTTGTTATCCATGCCATCATTTGTGTATAAGTGTGATTGGGACTCACCTGGATTCGAAGCCATTGCATAAGTCTTCCCCATACTGCTTTGGTAAAACTGCATTCACAAAACAAATGTGTGGGGGATTCATCTGCTTCATTGCATAAGCAACACCTTGTACTTATTTGTATTCCCCAATTTGCAAGCCTATCTGCTGTCATTAATCTACCATGACATTGCATCCACATTGTAAATCTTGCCTTAGGTCTAGCTTCATTGTGAAACATTAAAGTTCTCCAAGTCACCTTGCTATGATTTCCCAGCATGCCTAGGTATATCTGCTTGATACTACTCTGATTGAGATAAGCTGTAGGCAGTTGCTGCATTATCTCTCTTGCCTCTATGATCTTCCTCACCATCCAACTGGCCTGTTGAGGTATGTCCATCTCCATTATTCTTTGGCCTTTTATGTAGTATGTGTGGATCCATTTTGCCCACATTCTGTCTTTTTTCTTTGCCAAATCCCAATAGGTTTTACTGATAGCAGCTCTATTCCATATTTTGATATTCAGTAGATTGTATCCTCCAGCAGACTTAGGTAAACACATTCTATCCCATGCTATCAAAGCTCTCTTTGTAATTGTATTAGCACCAGACCAAATATAGCTTCTGCAATATGATTCAATCAGACTCATCACCTTAGCTGGAATAATGAATATTTGAGACCAATAGGATTGTATCCCAAAAATGACTGTTTGGACTAACTGTATCCTGCCAGCATAAGATAACTTTCTAGCTGTCCATGAGGTAATCTTTGCAACTATTCTGTCTATCAGTGGTTGCCATTGCATAGCTGTTAGCTTCTTTGTATCCAGGGGAATGCCTAAATATTTGAAAGGTAACTCCCCTAGTGAGTAGCCAGTCTTCTGTAGGATTTCCTGTTTAGTATCCTGAGCAACTCCTCCAAAATAAATTGCACTCTTGTTAAGATTAGCAAGCAGTCCAGATGCAGCAGAGAACTGCATGAAGCAAGCATGTAAAGTGGTGATAGACTTGCAATCCCCTCTAGCAAACAGCAGTAGATCATCTGCAAAGCTGAGGTGAGTTATATCAAGCTTACCACATCTAGGATGATACCTGTATTCTTTTCTATGTTTCAATCCTCTGAGCAGCCTGCTGAGGTATTCCATTGCAATTGCAAATAGGAATGGTGATATGGGATCACCCTGTCTGAGTCCTTTGGCAGCTTCAAAAGGCTTTGTTAATTCCCCATTTATCATGATTGAATAACTCACAGAAGTTACACAAGCTGTCACCCAATTGATGAATTTTGTGGGAAAACATAGGTACTCTAGTAGTTGCTTCAAATAAACCCACTCAACTGAGTCATATGCTTTCATCATGTCAACCTTCATCATACATCTAGGAAGTGTAAGTCATAACTTAACAAGTACACGTCACTTGATGAATAGATCATACTAATTCAATAATCTTGATTAATACAGCTATATTATATTTAATCTCGCTCTCAATCACTAATAATACTTTGAGACTACATATCCCTCATCAAAATATTATTATGTTTCGACTCCTCTTGGTAGAGAGCTTTGGAGCAACGGTGAAGTTATCTTTGTGTGACCTATAGGTCACTGATTCGAGCCGTAAAACAGCCACTATTGCTTGCATTAGGATAAATTGTCTACATCACACCTTTAGGAGTGCAGTGCGGTCATGAGGTTGAGTCGTGGAAGCAGCAACTAACGCTTGCATTAGGATAGGTTGTCTACAGCATTATCCCTTGGAATGCGGTCCTTTTCCTGGATCCTGCATGCATGCGGGATGCTTTGTATACCGGATTGATTACAAATGCAACAATTATTATCTATTTCTAATACTGCACAAACTATATAGTAATACTAATAGGAAATCCATTGTCTCCAAATCACAATCAAGCACCAACCACACAACAATTATCTATTATTATGTTTCGACTCCTCTTAGTCGGGAGCTTTGGAGCAACGATGAAGTTATCTTCACGTGACCTATAGGTCATTGGTTCGAGCCGTGAAAGCAGCTACTTATGCTTGCATTAGGATTGGTTGTCTAATCACACCCTTTAGAGTGCGTCGCGAGTTCGAGTCCTGGAAGCAACAATTAATGCTTGCATTAAAATATGTTGTCTACGTCAACCTCTTGAAGTGCAATCTTTTCTCGGATGCTGCATGAATGCACGATGTCTTGTATACCGGGTTGATTACAAATGCAATAATTATTATCTATTTCTAGTACTGCACAAACTATATAGCAATACTAATAGGAAATCCATTGTCTCCAAATAACAATTAAGCACCAACCACACAACAATTTTTTGCAACAAAGGTAACTATTAACAAAAGGATTTATCTTATATATATATACATAGATAATGTAAAGAATATCTTCAACTCTTAACAAAATCCCAAAAAAAAACTCATGAATTCTACAAACCCATTTTTTCAAATTTGCTTTTAGGAAAAATGATAGTTATTTAATTTACATAATCATCCATGAACTTTTGTAAATTTCATGAATGACCCTTAAAACTTTACAAAATGAGCCATTGATCTTCCCTCCAATAAAAATACCAATGACTTTGATTTTTTTTCCTTAAATTCTTTTTATATTAACAATGAAAATTTATGCAACAAATGACTCCCTTCTTTTCTTTAGATTTGCTGCAGTTTCTGGAGTTCCTTTTCTCATCATAGCTACAAATTCTTCATAGTTAATTCGACCATCCTGCAAAAATAAATAATGTTATTTATTCATGAACTACCAAATATCTGAAAATTAAATATTTGATAGAAAGGGAAAATATATTTTGAAAAATATTATCTAAAAAGTGGCGTTATTTGTAGAGTAACTATATTTCGAGGGTGTTCAGCTGGAGAGTGAAAAATACTTTTCAAAAATAATAAAATAATAACATTTATAATTTATAATAATGTTAACAAATCAGATAGTACAGGGAAGCCTGGCACTAAGCTCCCGCTATGCGCGGGGTCAGGGGAAGGGTTGGACGACAAGGGTCTATTGTATGCAGTCTTATCCTACATTTTTGCAGGAGGCTGTTTCCACGGCTCGAACCAGTGACCTCCTAGTCACATGGCAACAACTTTACCAGTTATGCTAAGGCTCCCCTTCAAATCGGATAGTATTTTGATGAAATTTTTGCGTATTTTAAATATTGATAGTAATATGTAACTATTGGTTGGAGCAATGACATGAAGTTTTTGTTGAGATAATTGTGAACGAAAATGACTTTAGCCCGAAAATGCGGAAATTCATTTCTCATCTTTTGGTGGAAAATAGTTTTTTTAGAAAATAATTTTTGATAACCAAACATCAGAAAATAACTTATTGTCCCGAAAACATTTTTTAAGAAAAATTTTAGAAAATATTTTCCGTCATACCAAATGTTTCATACTAATTTCATTTAACATATACTCATATTTTAAACTTACATTATTAGAGTCAACTTCAGCAACAATTTCCTTTATGTCCTTTCCATCAGTCATTCCAAACTCTCTTAAAGCTTGCTCTAACTCTTCTATTGTAATGAACCTGGCAAAATTAAAAGAAAATAAATCAGTTATAATCTAGGAGAAAGTTGGTTGCAAATATTACAGAGGTAACTGATTCTTTTACGCGGTCAGTATATATAAGTTAAATTCTTGAACGGGCTTACCCGCTATTATCCTTGTCAAAATATTGGAATGCAGTGTAAAGATGTTCTTCTTTGTCCATTCTGTTCATGTGCATTGTTGCTGTAATAAACTCTTCATAATCTATGGTTCCATTTCCATCAGCATCAGCCTAATTCAATATATTCAAAGAAAATTAACATTAGCTTGACGCAGTGGCAGAAGCAGAATTTTCATCAAGGAATCCAAAAAAAAGTAAACACGCAAAGAAGCGCTAAGGGGATTCAACTCCTAATATATATACATTAAAACAGTTTAGTATATAGTGTAATTTTCGGCGAGGGGGTTTGGCTGTACCCCCTTCCACCCACCTAGCTTCGCCCGTGGCTTGACGAATAAGAAACTTGCAAGTTGCAACATTTCAAATAATCGTTATTGCAGAAAGATTACGGGAGGGGTGTACGCAGACCTTACCCTTACCTTTATGGGATAGAGAGTCGGGGGGGGGGGGGGGGGGGGGGTTTAATCAGAAACAACTCCTCTACCTTCACAAGGTAGGGGTAAGATTTGCGTACACATTACCCTCCCCAGACCCCACTTGTGGGATTATACTGGGTTATTGTTGTCGTAAAGACTGTTTTCGATAGACCCCCGACTCAAGACGTTTTTTTTAGGTCCCCATTGCCATAAATTATGACATAAGCTCGACCACTTGGGCCGACCTTAGATGGACACCCTCCCAAGTGCAATGAATATTAGTAACAGCTTAATTAGGAATTAACAAGGTAAATATAAGATAATTATTTAGTATTTGCAATAAGAAGTAATTAGAGAACTTACAGCTTCCATTAACTGTTGAATCTCATAATCAGATAATTTTGTCCCTTGTTTAGCAAGTCCTTGCTTTAGCTCTTCAAGTGTTATTGCCCCACTGTTATCAGTATCCATGCTTTTGAACATTTGCTTCAATCCCATAATTTCTTCCTCTGATAGACACCCTGCAATTACCTGTAATATATTCCTCCAAGTGAATATTTTGGTACATTGATAATTAATTCTTAAAACGTACTTGACGTTGAAAATTTATGTTGCTCAGATTCTACAAAAATGATGTCACATCTGCGTTGGATTATCTAAAATAATGCATATTTTGAGAATCTGACACGGATGCAGCAACATTTCTTGAGGATTCGAGCAAATATATTACCCGGAGAGCAACTTTCTTGAAGTTGTTCATAGCTCTGAATTGTTTGAGCCTACTCAAAACAGCATTATCAAGTGGTGTATCTGGTGCTTCTCCATCCTCCTTGATCCATGGATGATCTTCATATAAAAAGTTTGTTAGGTATCATATAAACTGTGTTGCTCGGACTCTTCAAAAGTCACATACGTGTCAGATCCTTAAAAAATGCAGTAGTTTTGGAGGATCCGACTCGCACCTGACAACATTTTTGAGGAGTCCTTTCGAATATTTGCAGATAGATTCTATTGAAGACACTTACTTAGGACTTGGATTGCTGTCAACCTCTGCTTGGGGTCTATAGTCAACATCTTCTTGACAATGTCTTTGGCACCATGGGAAATTGCAGGCCATGGATCACTTGAAAAATCAACATGTCCTCTCAATATTGCATTGAATATTCCATGTTCAGTTTCTGAAAACAAATTAATAATAGCCATTCATTAATATCTAATTAATCTTACTCTAAAGTAACATAAACTATTCTTTCTCTACATACCATTACTAGGATTTTCATAGTCCATGAAGTTTATTTCCACAAATATACACTAATATTTTCCTTTTTGGGGTTTCCTACCCGGTGTCCCATACCTGCATTGAAGCCCGACTAAAACCGGATTCACTCGGAGAAGTCCCACATTGGGGGTTAAAGCGCTCCTAACAAAGGCGAGTACATACATAGGGCTTGATTCTGAGATCGCTAGTTAAAGCGCTCCTAACAAAGGCGAGTACATACATACTCATTTTTCACTCCACCACAACCCTTGTTGGTAAAAATATACTAATATTGTCTGAGTTCAACATAACACACGACTTTCGATTTGAACTTATATATATTTCAGTAATCTAAATCCTGAATCCGGCACTGAGGTATAATTACAAAGGGTAGGGAGGAGATTTTATTATTTACTTACTTTAAGCGACTCGATATCTCCTTTTACTTTCAATACCTATTCTCTTCCACATGATAGTATATTTCATGTGAGCCGATGGCCCACATATCAACAACAATAACATACCCAGTGTAATCCCACAAGTGGGTTCTGGAGAGGGTAGTGTCCACGCAAACCTTACCCTACCTTGTGAAGGTAGAGAGACTATTTCCGATAGATCATCGGCTCAAGGACGATGACCACGAATCAAATATTAAACACATATGTGTTCATTTTGCCTCTTATTTTCTAACTTAAAGAATATTCTAAGGTTTGTGTGAGTGATATACCTGCCCAAAAAGGAGGAACACCAGAAAGAAGAATATATAACATAACTCCCACACTCCATATATCAACTTCTGGACCATATCTTCTTTTCAAGACTTCTGGTGCAATGTAATATGCACTACCCACAATGTCCTTAA